TGGTCTCTGCCCGCAGCACTTCCCAGGCCTTCCAGAAGGCACCTGGGAGCTGCTGGTCAGGCAGGCTGCAGGGAGAGACCAGGAAGTGCTGCCAGCGCCAGCCTGGGGGGCCTCAACAAGTGTCACAGTGTCACTTTAGAAAAGGTAAGCAAATCTTTCTTTTTTTTTTTTTTTTTTTTTTAAGATTTATTTTTATTATTTTTTCATTGGAAAGGCGGATATACAGAGAGGAGAGACAGAGAGGAAGATCTTCCGTCCGATGATTCACTCCCCAAGTGAGCGCAACGGGCCGATGCTATGCCGATCCGAAGCCAGGAGCCTCTTCCGGGTCTCCCACGCGGGTGCAGGTTCCCAAAGCTTTGGGCTGTCCTCGACTGCTTTCCCAGGCCACAAGCAGGGAGCTGGAAGGGAAGCGGGGCTGCCGGGATTAGAACCGGCGCCCATATGGGATCCCGGGCGTGCAAGGCGAGGACCTTTAACCACTTGCGCCACCGCGCCGGGCCCAAGGTAAGCAAATCTTGCTGAGACTTTTTTGCTCAGAGACAAAGCAGCTTTATTAAGCCATACTTTAATTCATTTGTAAAACATATTATGGGTGGCACAGCAAGCTAAGCAGCACCTGCAGCACCTGCTTCCCGCATGCGCACCGGCTCAAACCTAGGATGCTCCACTTCTGATCCTGCTCCTTGCAATGGCCTGGCAAAGCAGTGGAGAATGATCCACGTGCTTGGGCCCCTGCCGACATGTGGATCACCTGGAAGCTTCAGCCAGACACAGCCAGGGTCACTGTGGCCATCTGGGGATCGATCCAGCAGACAGAAAAATCTCTGGAACTCTGCCTTTCAAATAAATGGATTTTTCAAAAAACACAGGAGCTTTATTAAAAAAAAATTATCATGGAAATGCAAATGTCAATAAAGCAAGCAGAAAGGTGGCTGGCCAGCACCGGCACTGCCTGCCCGTCGCTGCGCCTGGCACTGTGCTGCCACCCCCACAGCACTGGCACTGCCTGCCATCGCTGCGCCTGGTGTACCAAAAGCTCATGGAAAATTTGTATTATGAGGAAACTATGAGGATTTGAAAATTACTTTTATGACAATAAATATATCATTTCTATTACTTATTTGAAAGGCAGAATTGCAGAGCAACATAAATCTTCCACCTGCTAGTTCACTCCTAAGTGGCTGTTAACAGCCGGGCTGGGCCAGGCCGCAACTCCATCAGGTCTCCCATCCAGGTTCCACTGTTTCCCAGGCACGTTAGCAGGGAACAAGATAGGAAGTAGAACAGCTAGGACTGGAACCAGCACCCACATGGCATGCCAGCCTTTGCAGCTGGTGGCTTCATCGCTCCAGCATGGCCTGATGCCCAAGTTTACCTTTTAATTCCATTTTCCCATGAGTGCACACAGAGTTCCCATGTGTTGCTGCCTGCCCCAAATGCTGGTAGGGCCAGGAGGTGGGACCTGAGCCACCAGGGCCCCAGCCATGTGAGAAACCCCAGCTGCCTCCCAGGGTCCGTGAGCAGGAAGCTGGGGTGCGCGGCAGGCAGGGGACTGGAACCCAGGTGTCAGATAGAGGATGTGGGCCTCGCCAGCAGCCCTCTCCCCAAAACTGCTCCAGCAGCACCTGCCCCATCTCAGGGACCCTGTGTTCATCAGCGTGCAGACCAGCAGGGGCTGCCAACACTGAGCAGGATCGTCACCTCCTTTACCCCATGGAAGCCAAACCATACCCTAAGACCACAACCACAACTCTCACCACAGAACTGACTTCCCTGTAATGCTGCCATGTCCATGTGGTGGCCCTTATCTCGAAGACCCGACCCTGTTTTCCTCTGCCCTGGGTCACAGAACCCACGCTGCTGCCTCTGAGCTGCAAAGCGCAATTCTGGGCCTGATGAGTGCAGTGACACCACCACCCAGCAGTGAGGCCGCTACAGGTTCGCTCAGAACACAAGCTGGCCAAGCAAAGGCACTGCTTGCTAGAAACCTGCAAGACACCTGACAGAAGAGGCTGCCCCGCCAAGTCGGTGCCAGCCAGAACGTGGGCACTGCCAGGCCCAGCCTGTGCCTGGGACGCTTGCTGCTCCCTAGTTCCCCGCACCCACCAAACGTCTCTCTCGGCGACAGGGGCTCTCTGTGCCTGAACCGAAGGACAGACAATGTGGGTTCCACCCCACACCCACTTCCCCCAACAGTTGCCAACTCTGCTGTGTCAGTGACCAGTGTGGGCACTGGAGAGCCAGGGGATGTGCTGGCACCCCCTGCTGCGGAAGGAGTGGGTGGTATGAGGAGGGAGAGTGCCTGGGCTCGTCCCTGATGAGCAGCCTTGAGGACAGCTGTCTCCTGAGGCCGTAGCCCGCCCAGGGCGTCTCTGGATGCGGTGCCCTTGTCAACGCTATGAGGCTGAACACTTTGCCAGCTGTTTCTTTTGAAAGACGCTATCCAAGCCTGCAACGTTATTTCAACTGTCATCAAATATGAACATCTTCCATCTTTGAAAAGTCAGAGGCAAGTGTGAATGACAGAGGGCCTGGGACCACTGACGAGGGCAGGCTTGGGGTCTGCACGTGAACAGCCCCTCACAACGGAGATCTCGGGCTGCCGCTACCACGCAACAGGACACTGACCATCAAGCGCTGACTTCCCACATGGGCGCCCATTCGTGCCTCAGCCGCTCCACTTCCCATCCAGCTCCCTGCTAGTGTGCCTGGGAAAGCAGCAGAGGATGGCTCGAGGCCTGGAGATCCTGCACCCACGTGGAAGACTGGAAGAGGCTCTGGTGCTTGGCTACAGATCAGCTCAGTTTCAGCCGTTGTGGCCATTTGGGCAATGAAACAGAGGACGGCAGATCTTTCTTTCTCTCCTTTCTTTCTATAAATCTGCCTTTCTATCAGAAGTAAGTAAATATTAAAAAATATTTAAGGGTGAGATTTCTCGGCCAGAGTTGTGACATGCTGGGTGAAGCCATTGCCTGCAAAGCCAGCATTACATATGGCAATCCAATCCAAGCCCCTGCTGCTCCACTTCCCACCCAGCTCCCTACCCTGGAACGCAGCAGATGCGCCTGATGATCTCAGGAAACCAGAACTCCAGGGCCTACACTTAAAGACCGGGACTTGAAAGGAGCCTCTGCCACAGGAGAAGCGGGCAGAGACTGGGTGCTGAGGCCTGCGCTGCGGTGCAGCAGGGTAAGCTGCTGCCTATGACTCTGGCACCTGTACTGCCAGCTGGAGACTCAGCTGCTCCCTGGCGAGCCATCTGGGTAGGCAGCAGAAGTGCTGGGTCCTGCTCCCCTTCCACACGCCTGGCTCCAGCTGGGACCAGCTCCAGCCACTGCAGCCACCTGAGGAGTGAACCCCTGGATGGAGACCGAACTCTGCCGCTTCCCCTTCAGCCTGGAAATTCTCCCTTTTCAAATAAATAAGTCTTAAAACTCCAACACTGTAATCTGCTGCCACGGCAAAGCACACCCACTCATCCGGCACTCCACAGCAAATCTGAGCACTAGGCAAGCTGAAATTAACCCAGTCAAGCACCCCGCCTAAAGCCTGGCCCCCCAATAAGCAACAAGACCATCTCCTGCGAGTCGCCTGGGCTGAAACAGAATCAAAGCCTCCAGGTCAGTCTTCCTCTGGGCAGAGGCCGGCAAACTCCAACAGGATCCCGGTGGAAGCTTCTGTGCCCTCACCAAGGCGCAGCTTTGAGCAACTAGGCAGTCAAAGCCTAAAGCTTCCATTTCCCATCCCACACAGGCACTCCACAAACGCAGCCCGCACTGCAGCTCATTTTAGACGCACAGCGTGGATGCACCGGGCGGAACGGAAGCACCGGGTACCGGCAAGTCACGGGAGCTGTGTGCTCTGCCACACAGCGGTCCAGAGGGAGCCCGATGCGCCTGCACACACCTCAGCTTTGGCCCCGGACTCTCCCCACCACGCTTCACTCTCACACACAGACACACAAATGCTAAGGACAAACTTCACATGATTACCTTAAAGTAACAAAAAAAAATTATACTGCATACAAACCATGCCACTACCCTTCACCAGTGTTTCCCCCCAACTTTTCCCTGGAAACAATCATTAAAATCAGTGGTTGCTACTGTGGCGCAGCATGCTGAGCGCCCCACCCTGACTTTAGCATCCCTTACAAGCACAGGTTCAAATCCTAGCTGCTCCACTTCGGACCCAGCTTCCTGCTAACGCCAAGTCCTGGGACCCCTGGCACCCACTGGGAGACCCAGAAGGACGGTCAGGGTCCTGGCCTGAGACCATTTGAAGAGTGAGCCAAAAGAAGGTGTCTTTCCATCATTCCCTCTAACTTTGCCTTTCAAATCAATAAAGAAGACTTAAAAAACTAAAATGAGCACAGGTTGAGTGTCCTCTGACACGTGTGACATCAGAAGTCTTCAAGGTTCCGATTTAGGGTCCCGAGTGTGGCACAGAGGCTTAACCCACTGCCTGCAGCAAACGGGTGCCAGGCGGAGTCCTGGCTGATGCCTTTGCAGCCGAGAGCTCAGGCCTTGCCACCCACGTGGGAGACCTCCGTGAAGCTCCTGGCTCCTGGCTGGTCCAGCCACTGCAGGGTCTCTCTGCCTATCTAACTCCGCCTTCCAAATAAATGTATTTTACCTACATGAAAAGATAGCCTGGCTCTACCGCGGCACCTTTCACACACACACACGGCCTGAAGCTAATTTTACACCACGTGCATCCAATAAGCTTCCTTGGCGAGGAATTTTCCACTCGTGGTGAATCCTGCTAGTCCCGGAAAAACAAAACAAAAAAGCAGCAGCGGCTAAGGATTCGGGAACGTTTGGGAATTCAGATTGGGGTGCTGGGCCGAGCGTTTCCCAGCACGCCCGGGCCGGGGGTCGCGCCGCCGAGCCCCACTCGGCCGCCCTCACCGCTTGGGTTCCCTCGCACCGGGGTCCCCGCCGCCCACACGCGCCCTCTCGGCCCGGCCGAGGGCGTCCCCGGCGGCCCCGCGCTCTCACCTGCAAGTGACCTGCTTGGTGCTCATGGCGGCCGGGCGCGGGGGGCCGTGGGCGATCCGCCTCCTCTCGCCGCCGCCTCGGCCTCGGCCAGGCCCATCCCGCGCAGCCGCGTCACGCCGGCGCACGCCGCCCCGCACGTGCGGCGCCTTTGTAGCGCCGGCCGGAAACCTCGCCGCCGTCACAATGGGTTCCGCCGGCCCGTGTTCCTGGGCGCTCGCTCCGGGCGTCCGCGGCCGCACGTGGCGGGGCCTCCCAGGCCTGCCGAGCTTTGTCAGGTTCGCGGTGCCGCGTTTCTGGTCGCCCTGCCCTGTCGCCCGCCGAGGACACTGCCTGGTTCCCTCTCGCCTCCCCCTGGAAGGCCTCGCCTTGCTGTCCCTCTGGCCTGCCCTCTGCCCGGCCCCTCACGCAGCTGGGGAGCTGCGGGTTAGTCCGACGCGCCCCTCTCCTGTGGCCTCCCGGCCCCTTGCTGCCCTCCCGGCCCCTTGCTGCCCACCCCGGATCAGTCCGCAGCAGCCCGCCCTCCGCCCCCGCGCTGGCTCCTGCTCTCACTTCTGTCCGCTCGGTTTTGACCAAAGGTGCCCCCGAGATGCCCCCCGCCCCATGTTGTCACTCTGACGGCAAACTCGCTTTCCAACAAAAACAGCTAGTCTTCCAATGCATGCCTGTCCAGGCACATGGGAATCCACTGACAACACGGGATCCCCCCGCCCCGCTTCCACGTTTGCGCATGCATCCTCCATCTTCTCCCTGTCGCATAGTAACTCTCCCACCACTTAGCTTTGCTGAAAGAGCTGTGCTGTCTTTTAGACTGCCAGACAGAACCAGCGGCGGCCAGTCTTTTGACCGGAGTCTGTTTGGAGCAAATTGGAATGATCCAGAATAACCGCAGTGACCTACGTTTCATTGCAATATTGAGACACGTTTCAGATGGCAATTCAGCGGTCACCTTTTTTTTTTTTACCTTGAGAGGCTGAGAGAGAAGGGCTCCGGCCTGCTCAATCGCTCTCCAAATGCCCGCAGCAGCTGGAGCTGGGCAGGGGTGGTACTCAGTAGCACGTCTCTCCCGTGGGTGGCAGCGACCTGAGCCCTGGAGTCAGCAGCCCTGCCGCCCAGGGCAACAGGCCAGCAGGAAGCTGGAAACAGGTGCAGGGCCAGGACTCGAACCCCCGGACCCAATTCACATCCCGGTCACCTGAGTTGAGTGCTCAGCTGTTATCTTTACAAGCTCCCTGCAATAACATCGGCTTGCAAAGACTGAATGATTGGTTTCACCTGTTGGTTTGCTCCCCCAATGCCTGCAACAGCCAGCGTTGGGCCAAGCCAAGGCCTGGGATTCTCTCCGGATCCCCCACTTGGGGTGGCAAAGATCCACGCACCTGGGCCTTCACTTACTGCTTCCTGAGGTACAGCACAGGATGCTGGTTGGCAAGTGGAGTCCCAACCCAGCCCCAGGCACCCCTGACAGGGTTGGGATGCGGGCCCAGCCCAGAGCACCTCAACTTCTGCCCTTGTAATTGCCCTACAATCAGTCGTGGAGTAGTAAACCTGGTGAAATGTCCCTCCAGGTTCTGTGTGTGTCCCCAAGGGCACGGCTGCTCACCTCCGGGATCTCAGCCACCCGCGGTGCCTGGCGCAGTACGAGCACTGTGCGCCCTGCTTAGCATCCAGGAAAGGGCTACACCTGGGTGAGCCGCGGAGGATTCCCGAGGAAGGCACGAAAAAAAAAATAATAATTAGGAGCTAAGCTAGGGGCATTCCTTCCTTCCCCACATACATCTGTGTGCACAACACTTTGAAACTGCAGTTACACAGCGCATGCGCTAAGCGGCGCAGCTCGAGGCGTTTTCATCATCAGCCCCAGAGAACCACCAGAAGGGACACCCCTCCCGCCAGACCCCCCAGAAACGGCCTCCCCCACACGGACGGCAGCCACCACTTATCGTGACCGGCACAATGACTTCCCGGCTGCCTCGTGGCCTACAAGTAAGAATTTCACTCATTCGTACAGAAACATTGCACAAACATAAAGGCCGGTCTCCAATTGCAAGAATTCCCACAGTCCTAGGAAGTTTTGTGAACTGGCACAAAAGGAAAACAACTTATCCTCAGGAAGCCAGCCTGTGCGGTGGCCTGGTTGCTCTCACCTGCCCGGATTCGGTCGCGCGGCTGTCAATCATGATGACGTCGGGGCGATCAGGTTACTCAGGTGCGCTCGCCGGAGGAGAGGAAGTCTGCAGGAAGCCCGGAGGCGAACGCTATGCACTGCGAGGAAGCCGGGCAGCCGCTGGTCAGATTCAGCCACTGCCAGAAATCCATCTACAGCTTCGGCGTGCCCGCGCGCTGCCCGCTCTGCCAGCGGGACGTGGGCCTCTGGAAGCTGGAGGACGCCCCTGTCAGCATCCCCAACCCGTTCTCCAACGGGCACCGAGAGAAATGCGCCTTCCTGCTCCGGCCCACGCGGGGCTCCTTCCTTAGGTACCGTGGTGTGCAGTGTGACCTGGCCCAGGTCGGCCACCGCACCCTGCTTCCGCAGTGCGGGCTCCTGCGTGAAAGGGCGCCAGGGGCAGGGGGTGGGTGTCAGCTTCTGTCTCTAGGTGTGACCGCAAGTAACACCTGCACCACGTAACAGCTTGTGGTGACAGACAGGTGCCATCCGCGGGGTTCAAAGTCAAAAGCCTGAAGCTGCACCTGGGTGGGATGGCTTTCCCAGGCCTTTAGCGAAGGAGCTGGACAGGAAGTGGAACATTCAGGACTCGAGCCAGTATTCATGCGCAACGCTGACCTCCAGGTGGAAGCTTCACACTTGATCTTAGCCAAAAGGCTGAGAACGACCCAGATGGAAGCTTAATCCACGGTGCCACAGCACCGGCTTTGGAAAAATGATCAGGCTTACAATTTTTTTTTAAACATGTTTCCTGAGCAAAGAAATCGTGGCAAGCCTCTTTCCTTTTGGTACCTCAAGGGTGTGTGTCCGCTGTCTCTGGAGGAGCCGGCAGGTCCTCCCATTTTTGTTTATCCAGATGTTTGCATCCTCTTCAAATGCTTTCCCTTTCCTGGTTTTCATCCATTTTATTGTGCTGTGCCTGGGAGGGAGCTGTGGCTTGGATGTGTCCCTCAAGAGCATGTGTTAGAGGTAACCCTGAACACACAGCCGGGGCCTGAAGAGGTGCCCTACCCAGCCAACGCTGTGGCACGGCAGGTAAAGCTGCCTGTGACACGGGCATCCCATGTGGGCATTAGTTAATGTCCTGGCTGCTCCACTTCTGATCCAGCTCCCTGCTAATGGCCTGGGAAAACAGCAGAGGATGACCCAAGACTTAGGGCCCCTGCACCCACATGGGAGACCTGGAAGAAGCTCCTGCCCTTCTGTGTGGCACATGGCGGAGCATGGGGGGGATCCTGACAGGCCTGCTCTTGGCGTGGGCAGAGAGGAGGTGGGGAGTCTGCAGCACCTCCTTGGCTCTCTGCCCACCAGGCCTAGGGAGGCCGGCCTCCCTGCCAACTGCCATCCCCCCCCACCCCCCCACGTTCCTGAGTCCTTGGCTCTTGATTCTCAGGCCTCGCTGGAGGACCAGTTCATTCACTGCGCTGAGGGAGAGGCAGTGGTGACATCAGGGGGTTGCTGCAGTTCTACCAAGGTCAGGATCTGGAGTCTGCCCACACACAGCTCTGCATGCAAGGCTGGGGGTGCACGGCCTGCCTGGGCGCCCCACACAAAGCTGCACACGCGCCAAAGGGGTCTGGGCTCCTTACTGGCACACAGGTGGTACCCGTGACCCTGCCCCATTCCGCACCTCTGTATCGCTCAACTCCCACCCATCCCGCTCACATCACTCACTGAGCTCCCAAAAACCTGAACACGGAAAGGCCTTCTTTGGCAGCTAGCAGACTCCATGAGGGCGAAGACCTCATCTTGCTTCTTGGGGTGTCACTGGCCCCCCAAAGTCCAGTGAACACCTATTTGGTGATAGACAAGCAATAGAAGGAAATGAGGGGTGGGGCCAAGGTCTAGGTGGGGTCAGGTGTCCCCAGCCCCCACTCAGGTAGTGTAGCACCTGCTGACCCTGCCCTGGGCCAGGGGATCCTGGGGCGGGGAGACAAGTGGTCACAGGGAGCTTGCAGGAACTGCCTGTGTCCTGCGGCTGAAGGCTGAGACTCCAGTCTGACAAAGGGACTTTACTATTTAAAAATGACCTCGTTGGCAGGTGGGCTTCAGGCTGCCAGGGAACACCAGTGGCCTGGGTCTCAGCTTGGCTTCTGAGTGCAGCTTCCTGCTGTGGGCAGCACAGGAGGCAGCGGTGAGGGGTCACACCGTCAGGCCCTGGCCAGCCACTCGGGGGGCCTGGAAGTTACTGGCTCCTGCCTGGGCCTACGCAGTGCTAGCTGTTGTGGACATCTGGAGAGTGTGTAGCAAACGGGGGCTCTGGCCTGTTGGTTTAGTCTTGCAAATACACACACACACACTAAAAGGATGGGGGCCAAACACCTGCCGATAAGAAAAAATGCCCCGTGTCTTTCAGCGAGTACGACGGCAGGTCGGATCTGCACGTGGGGGTGACCAGCACGGATGGTGAGTGCCTGGCTTTGCTCGGGTTCAAAGCCCCACAGTGCCCAGTGAGGAGGGGCGACTCCTCTATGCACCGGGAACCTGACACGCCACCTCCTCCAGATGAGTGAGCCCCCAGCACAGCCTTCCTTGACCTCTGGAGGCAGGAGCGGGGGTGGGGACAGAAACCTGGAGCTTTGAGCTCAGACTTACCAACAGCAGACATGAATTGACCCCCAATATTTTTGTTGTTGTTGTTAATTTGATGGAGAGGGAGAGACAGAGATGCAGCTCCCCTCTGCTGCATCTCCCCAAATATTGGCCATGGCGGGAGCTGGGCCCAGGGAGCTCAGTGCAGGTCCCCCGTGTGGCTGTTGGGGACCCAGGTACCTGCAGTATGCGCTGAGAAAGCTGGGCCCAGGACTGAAGCCAGGCACTCCAGCTGCATGCTGCCCCGTGACCAGTCCTCGTGCCTGGAGGTGTTCGCTGAGGGAAGTGCACCAGATAGGTGGTTCTTGAAGAGAACCTTGCAGCTGAGAGGACTGGCTGGCATCCCTCCAGTGTCTGTCCAGTGGGCAACTTCATAGCAGGGTTCCCAGAAGGAAAGCTGTAAGGCGGCAGGGCAGGGCTGCGCTTGAACCTGTGCTTGCCTCAGGGGGCTGGGGCCCACCCGCCCCTGTTCCCCGTCAGCTGATGCTCACAGCCCACAGAGGCCTCTCCCTGGCATCTGCCGTCCCTTTGGGGGACTCCTTTCCTGGGTTGGGGGTGCTCCCGTGCACTCTGTGATGTGGTTTGCTTTGCAGGCACTGTGTACAACTATGGCCCGCATGGCGTCCAGCGGGACGAGGCCGGGTGGGAGCAGAGTCTGGCCGTCCCCTTACTGCAGCCCAACATGTTTGGGCTGATGGACCAGTGGGACAAGTACCTGGCAGACTTCTCCGCCTCAGGGACCTGGCTGCCCCACAGGTAGGCAGCCACCCAGATCTGCCCCCCAACCCTGAGACACTGGTGCTGGCAGCAAGAGTGAAACAGGGTTGGGGTCTCCCTGGGTTCCCTGCAGAGGGGTCGGTGTCCCTTTGGGTACAAAGTCACAGCCATGTCAGAGTTAAAAGGCCGGCACTAAAGAGTAGCTGTGCGACCAGGGATTTGTGAAGATACACCAACATTCGCCACATTGTAGTCCTTTTAAACAAAATCTGAAGCTAGTTTCTAAGCTATCTGCACTTACTTAAGGGCTGGCAATTCTGAAGTTAACTTCTCAGTCCTCACACCAAGGCTCAGTCTATTGCTACAATCACCCTGAAGTAACTTGATTCTGCAGGGATCATAAAACCTAAGAGAATGGAATTCCTCTTGTAAAATCCAGCATTCCGTTGAGTTCGTCCCCCAGAATGGCAGCTGATATGCAGCTAAGTCACCACTCTCAATGTTGGGTTGAGCCTGGCCCCCATGGCTATTCCCTACAAAGTAAAAATGGCCCAGATGTGCAGGCATGCAGCCAACCTTGGGGTGGGGATGGGGGGCCGCTTGCTGCCTGAGCCAGTCTCCAGGAGCTGGGCTTCTCACGGCAATGCCGTGTCCTGCCAGATACGACGAGGAGCAGCACAACTGTTACAGCTATGCCCTCACCTTCACCAACTGCGTCCTGGCCACGGAGGGCGGAGCGCCACTGGACAAGAGCGCCTTCACGGAGAAATACGTGCTGCCCAGGACCAGGCAGGCTTCCAAGTACATTGTGCTGTACCGGGCTGTTGTGCAGCATGGCTTCTGCGTGAGCGACTGTCCTACCTGGGATGCCAGCCCGCCTCTGGGGGAAGGCACCGTGGGAGGATGCTGAGTGCTGGGAGGGCACGGGCAAGGGGCCACATCACCTCCACTTGGTGGCATGGATTTCTCCCTAAGTGTGTTCATCTGGGACGAATAAACAGTCTGGCTTGGAAGCATCCTGCAGCTGACTGTATATCGCATTAGTGTTTGTGGATGGAGGTTCCCCCAGGGCCTAACAAATTAACACGTGGGACCATGAAACCTATTTGCCTGGAGCTGGGTCTTCCAGGGCCACAGTGTGAATTCATCTGAGTCAATCAGATTCCCTCTTCCCAGGCGGAGGAGGAGGGAGCACCCAGTTTCACTGCTGTCAGGGCAAAGGCACAAGTTACCTTCTGCAGGCCAGGGGCAGCAGGTGAAGGGAGCCCCTCGCGGCCAGGCCAGGCGCCTCCCAGGTTGGCCTCTTGCTTGAGCGAGCTCTTGTCTTCCGACACAAACCCCTCGTTCCTTGGTGCTCATTTCTTGCCCACTGGAGATGCAGAATTCAGAAAGGACACAGTGAAAGAGCTGTTTTTTTTTTTTTTTTCCCTTCCTTTTCAAACTTTGAGTGTGGGCAGTGCGACGCAGCAGGTACAGCTGCTCCCTGCAGGACCAGCATTCCACGTCTGGGTGTCGGGTTCAAGTCTCCGGCCCAGCTCACCTGCAAGGTGGCACACGACTGCCCCAAGGCTTGGGTCCTGTGAGGCACGCAGCAGGCCTGCACGGGCTTCGGTCTGCTTAGTGTTACAGTCATCTCTGTCACCATCATGCTTTTCAAGCAAATCAATAAACCAAACTAAAAAATGTGTTTGAAAAAGAGACATACGTCATCTATTGAAGCCAGGAGCTTCTTCTGGGTCTCCCACAAGGGCACAGGGGCCCAAGGACATGGGCCATCCTCCATTGCTTTCCCAGGTCACAAGCAGGGAGCTGGATAAGAAGTGGAGCAGCCCAGACTCAAACTGGTTCCCATGTGGGATGCTAGGGACATGGGTGCAGGTTTAACCTACTATATCATGGTGCCAACCTCAAATGGTTCCTTTCTAGAAAGTTCATTTTCTCCCCCAGGCTTTAGCAGTAACTCCCTGGGGGTAGGGTTAATTAGAGATTCCACAACTGCCTGTACACCCAAGGAGAGGCACCTCTGCAGTGTGGGCTGCTTAACTTGGAAGTAATTTCTATAGAAGCCCCAGGATCACATGGCTGTGTGGTATGTGTGTGTTGGGAGGGAACCCTGAGCAGTAATTGCTCCGTGCTGGAGTGTTGTTATTTGCTATTACAACTGCACAACATTCTACCCCACGCTGGCTCCTTCATCAAGGACAGCGAACCCGTAGGACCTGCAGGACGCGCAGGATCCTCCCAGCAGTGTTGGGCCTCCATGCAGGCAACACTTGGGTTGCTGTGTTTGGGTGTGTGGTGGTGTCATCTGTCTCCACTTAAATGAAAACAGGTGCCAAGGGAAGAGAAGCAAGAGCCCGAACAGATGCGGGCTGGTTGGGCTTTGCCACAGTATCAGCTGGCAAGTGCTGGGACTCGGGGCAAGTACTGCCAGGTAAGACTGCAGAACCATCTGACCAGTGCACCATCTGGGGCTGGGAGTGGCCTGCAGGGAAATTGTGGGCATCTTTCTGACACCCTGTAACTCCCACTGGTAAGCTTGAGAATCAGGGCTGGGGCAGGTCTGACTAAAAGGTGGTGGCACCTGCTGGCATGAGTGTGGGCTGGACACTGGGTTGGTTGGGTTGTGCTAAGTTTCAATTCTCTAAACTGGATGGGATGTGGGACAGTATGCTACACACACTGGTAAGCACATGAACCAGGGATAGGGAGGGCATGGTGAGGGTACTGGGGGTTGCCCTGACTAGGCTGCAGGCTCTGCTAGTGAACCTGAGCGCTGAGCTTGTGGGAGGGAGGGCTGGGCTTGGCCGTAACATCCACTGATTTACTAAGAGATGGGACTGGAGATAGAACGGACCCGGCAACGACAACTACTAGTGTGTGTACAGGTTGACACGGTGACAGTCTGAGCCAGACTCAATGCTGGCAATCGCACACGAGTCGGGTCTGGGATCGCCTCAAGACAAGGCTGCTGTGGGGATCCTCCCAACTGAGCTGCTGGACTCGGAACTCCAACCATGGAGGGGTAAGCTGATCCAAAGCCAGGAGCTTCCTCTAGGTCAGCCACACGGGTGCAGGGTCCCAAGGCTTTAGGCCATCCTCAACTGCTTTCCCAGGCCAGAGGCAGGGAGCTGGTTGGGAAGTGGAGCTGCCGGGATTAGAACTGGCACGCATATGGATCCCGGTGCATTCAAGGCGAGGACTTTAACCGCTAGGCCATTGTGCCGGGCCTGACACTGTCCTTTGTACACAGCGCGCCCAGCGAGTTCACCAAGAACATAGTTGTTTAGGCACTCCATGGTACAGGACGTCCTCGGCCGCAGTAGAGAGGGCTTCCTGGTGGAGACATTTTACTGCTTTTCCTGTTGAAAATATTTCAACACAGACTCTCCCAATCCCCAGGCCTGCTCCCTCCTCAGGGACAGACTCTGAAGGTAACAATATGCCCGGGGGCCAAAGTGCCTGACGGCCTGCAGGGTGCAGGACACACATCAACTCGTGACACTCTCGGGTACCGGCCGGAGGTGGCATGGGGATGGCGCCCAAGTCGGCAGGCTCAGCGCAGCCCAGCACAGCCTCAAGTCACTGATGGATTCCTGTCTTGAAGCACTGGCAACGTGAGTGGCTGGCAGCACCAGCTCCTTCGAAGCCCGTGTCCGTGGGCAGTTATGGTGAGAGGTCGTGCAGTGTGGCCCGGACTTGGCACGTGGAGGCAGCTCAACAAGACATCGTGCGGAGGGTCGTTAGAGCTCTTCTTGGTCGCTCCTCTCTCGGGAAGAAACCCACCGACTCAGAATCACCTCCTACAACCGAGCAAGACACACAGGAGCTGGATGTCAACCCCGCAGAACAGAGCACTGGCCCGGCACTCGGGGGCCGTCCACGCCCCAATATGTGACCACGATGCTGCTGACCCCTAGGAGGAAGAACGCTGGGAGAAAACAGGCGTTTGACAACACAGGCTCCCTGCACTGTGCCCAGCGAGCGAGCGAGTGCTGCCCCTGCTGTGGCACTTCATGAAAGCGGCTTTTTGTTTCAGACTGGTACTGTGGTATAACAGGTTTAAGCACTCGACTCTAGTGTCCCGAGTCAGTGCGTCAGCTCGGGTCCTTGGTGCTCTGCGTCTGACCCACTTCCTGCTGCTGTGCCTGGGAAAGCCCCAGAAGCAGGCCCGGGTGCTGGGGCCCTGCACCCATGGGGAGACCTGGATGGAGCACCAGGGTCCTGACTCAGCCCTGGTCGTTACAGCATTTCAGGAGCAAACCAGGGGATGGAGGATGTCGCTCCCTCTTCCTGTTAACTCTGCTGTTCAAATAAATAAAACAAATCTTAACAAAATAAGATAAAATCAACCTTTAAAAAAATTCTTTTTTCGAAGCCAGCATTGAAGCACAGCAGGTGTAAGCCACTGCTAGCCATTCTGACATCCCACGTGAGCACTGGTTTGAGTCCTTGCTGCTCCACTTCCAATCCAGCTCCTTACGAATGCATTTTGGAAAGCAGCAGAGGTTAGCCCAATCCTTGGGACTCTGCGCCCATGTGGAAGACCCAAATATAGTCCTAGCCCCTGGCTTTGGCGTGGCAAACTCCAGCCATTGTGGCCACTGGGGAGTGAACCAGTGGAAGATCTTTCTTTCTTCTCTAACTCTACTCCTTTTCAAATAAATTGTTAAAAAAAAAAAAAAAAAGATTTGGATCTGGTGTGATAGCGTAGTGGTTAAAGTCCTTGCCTTGCACGTGCCAGGACCCCATGTGGTTGCCAGTTCTAATCCCGGTGGCCCTGCTTCCCATCCAGCTCCCTGCTTGTGGCCTGGGAGATCTGGAAGAAGTTCCTGGCTCCTGGCTTCAGATTGGCTCAGCTCTAGCCGTTGCGGTTGCTTGGGGAGTGAACCATTGGACAGAAGATCTTCCTCTCTCTCCTCCTCTCTGTATATTTATTCCTGTCAATTATTTATTGGAAAGTCAGATTTGCAGAGAAGGAGAAAGATCTTCCGTCTGCTGGTTTATTCCCCAAGCAGCCATAACAGCTGAGCCAATTCAAAGCCAGGAGCCAAGAGCTTCTTCTGGGTCTCTCACGTGGGTACAGGATCCCAAGGCTTTGGGCCATCCTCTACTGATTTCCCAGGCTGCAAGCAGGGAGCTAGACAGGAAGTGGAACAGTTGGAGCACAAACTGGCACCCATAAAGGATCCTGGTGCAAGCTAGGTGAGGATTTAGCCACTAGGTCCCCAAATGGTCCTTGGGCCCACTTGGGCAGTGGTACCAGGTCTGTGAGCCTCGGATCCGGAGTCCAGCGGGGCCAGGAGAATTGGTCCTCCTCAGCGGAAAAGACAGAGCAGTGGACAGCAGGTCCTGAAGCACATGGAGGGTATGGCAGCCCATCGGGGCCTGCAGAGGACATCTGGTAGCACAGCACAGGGAGACAGAACAAACTGGACAACTACTCCAGCCAAACAATGACAGCAAATATCTTGATGAACAGACTCTACAGTCCGCTGTGTGCCCATGGACATTCGAAGGGTTTTCTCATCCATGGATCGGTGAGCTTGACAGCATTTCAGAACTGGCGCAGCCACCTGGGCAGGACCTTCGGAGCGTGAGTCAAATCGGGACCCTGGGTTAATACTGTGTGGCCGTTCCCCATCCCCAGGAAATGGGACTGGGAGGCTGGGTATGGCTCCTCCCCTTTTCTCCCCTCCCCCAAGAAACAGGACGAAGAAATAGAAAATTCGGAAGCAATGATCACACCCACCTTTCCCCATCCCTCGACCTTCCCTCCCGATCAACTATGGAAACATCATCTTAAAAAATAATAATACACAGGGTCCTATTTTCTTTCAGCCCTATTAAAGGACCATAAATTTAACAACAAAAAAAATTACTTTCATTTACCTAAAAGGCAGAGCAAGAGAAAGGAGGGAGGCAGGAAGGTGAAGTGAGAGATCTACCCGCTGGTTCACTTTCCAACTGCCTTCAAAAACTAGGGCAAGCTAGGATGGAGCTCAGATCCAGGAAATTGGGACTGGTGTCGTGGCTCAACAGACCAATCCTCTGCCTGTAAACACCAGCATCCTATACAGGCACCAGTTAATGTCCCCGTGCCTCCACTTCCCACCAGCTCCCTGCTCGTGGCCTGGGAAAGCAGCAGAGGATGGCCCATGTGCTTGGGACCCTGCACCCGTGTGGGAGACCTGGAGGAACTTCCTGGCTTCAGTCAGATCAGCTTGGCTCTGGCCACTGTGGCCATTTGGGAAGTGAGTCAGTGGATGGAGGATCTTTCTCTCTGTAAATCTACCTTTCAAATTAAAATAAATCTTAAGAAAAATAAAATGATCAAGGAATTTCATTTTAGTTTCCCACAGGAACGGCAGAGGCCCAAACGCCTGAGCCATCATCGCTGCCCTCTAGAATGCATCACCTGGAAGCTGGATCAGAAGTGGAGGAGCTGGGACTTGAACTAGTGTTCAAAGGGAGACGCGGATTCTGATCAGCAGTTTCTGAGCAGGAATAATTAGGGGAGGGGGGTTGGGAGACTTACCAGCAGGTGTGTGAGGCATGGAGAAGCATGAACAAGGAGCAAGGGGAGGTGTACAAGGGCAGAAAACCAGGGCACACCCAGTGTGGGTGGCAGTACAGACACCTCAAAGGCACACCTGTGGGTGCACACACGTCACACTCTGAACAGCCCGTGTCCTCGGAGGCAAGGAGCCTCAGCCAAGACAAGGTGTGAGGAGGCGGGGTGCCAGGGACACGGCTGCTGGGCCCGGGGGGCTTGTTTCTGAGGGAGGGCCAGGGCACGGCAGCTCAGCAGGCCCAGCGCGGGTGGAGGGGAGCCAGCCCACCGGGCCAAGAAGGCTTTCCGCTACACTACTCAGTTTCTCGGGACCACTTGTTCCACGCCACGGGACGGCGTGCACTTGTCCTCGAGTCACCCACCTGTACTTGAATTCTTTTCATGCACTCTGGGGACGCCATTTCGTCGTCAGTCATGGTGGAGGGCTTAATCAGATAGCAGAGGAGAAGCTCCTGTGGAGGGAGAGACGCTGCGTTCCAGCCGGGCTCCAGGTGGGGGCGGCAAGGGCCGCACGTGGCCTCCCTCCCTCCTGGCATGCCCCGCAGGAGCCCAGCTGCTGACCGGGGGCGTGGGCTCACTAGGCACCTGCTGTTCGGTGATTATCGATTCAGCAAGAACGTGGGCAGGCACATGGCTGGCAAACACAGCACTGAACACACTAAGACACGCAGCTGCCAGGATGGGGCACCAGAGCACTGGAGCGGGACAGACGCCTGATGGTCCAGGCCAGGCTATGCCCTGCTTGGGTGGTCCTCACTGGCCCAGGATGAGACAGTGGGGGTGGCCCACTGTGTGACGGTGTGATGTCTACTGAGCCTGCGCTCTGAGCAGTCCTTGGGAGGCTGCAACCCCCTCCTGTCTTTGAGGCCCACAAGCCAGGAGGCCACGTGGCTTGGCTGTGATCCCGGGCTGCACCTGGGTGGCATGACTGAAGGGTACTCCACAGCCCCGCAGCCCCTCAGCCTAGGACGGGGACGGTAACCGGGTGCCTTGGTGACAGGCAGCGACTGATAGCGCCCCTGCTCTTCCCTTCCAAGAGATCCATGAATGCCAAGTCGCGTGTCCCTGCTGACTCCCTTGGGGAGTGTCTGCACATGTGTGCACGTGTCCGTGTGTATATGTGCATGCGTGTACGGCATTAAACTGCATCAAAGCAACCCAGAGAGCAAGGGCTCCCCTGAGCAGTGCCCACCGGGCAGGTGCCCACGGGAGCAACACGTGAGGGGGCTTCACTTGCATGTCCAGCTGAGGGGGAAGGGGAACGACTCGTGAATCTTCTAGAACATCCCTGGCAGGCATGCTATCCAGTCTGCACAAACGGCCTTCTGACCGCCCCGAGGGAAGAAGCCAGGCGGGCTGGGTCACCTTGGAGACATTGGTGGAGACTCTGCTCAGGGCTGCCAGCGCCCGCCAGGTGAACGGCCTGCGGGAAGCGCCCTCGAAGCGGTCGTCGGTGAGCTCCACGATGACCGAGTAGCTGCAAAACACACGGGGGCTTCTTGGGGCAGCCCGCCTCCAACGCGTGCCGACTGCCCCTCGGGAGTGAGGGCCCAGAGAAACACCGGGGTGAGACACACTTCGACCTGATCAACGTTCTGGTGGATTTCAACCCGACAGACAGCAACAGCTGTAAACGCCCTTCAGCGTCAGACAGGGCCCCTCGCCAGCACTCGCAGGCATGGTGACGGTGCACTGCAGCATCCACACTGCCACCACAGTCCGTGTGTTGGACACAGACACGCGACACGCACCCCTCCAAGACCAGACAGGCTCAATTTGCCTCTAGGGCACTGAAAATTGAACCGCAGGCCAGAAACTTCCTCAACTCATGAAATTAAGTTACATAAAATCACTCCATGAGTTGGAATAGAAAGTAAAACTGTCCTATCCAATGTTGGCATCCCATAAGGGCACTGGTTTCTGTCCTGGTGGTCCCACTTCCCATCCAGCTCCCTGCTTGTGGCCTGGGAAAGCAGTTGAGGACGGCCCAAAGCCTTGGGACCCTGCACCCGTGTGGGAGCCAACTGAATTTCTCAGCTCTTGGTTTTGACATGGCCCAAATGGAAGATCTCTCTCTGCCTCTCCTTCTCCTTCCATAATTCTGATCTTCAAAATAAATAAATATATGTTAAAATCACTTCCAAACCTTGCGTGGTAAAATGGAGGTCCTTTCCGATACAGCACTGCAAAAAAGGAAACAAAAGAATTAATTTGCAGCCTCCTCTGTTACCAGTCAAGCCATAAACAAAAGCTTTAGAGTGCACGGCCACTGCATGACTCTTGGCGGTCCACGCAGCAGGTGCAGGTCCCCAGGTGGCTGTGCTGATGGAGCCCCTGGCTCGGACCCTGACAGCATGCCACTTTAGCGGGGCCCTTTGAAGTGGGTGGCAGAGACCAGCCGGCTCCCCACTGAAACCACTTCCTCTTCCCCCAACATGTGAAGACCAGACTGGGCCCCCGTGCAACCAGGTCTGGTTGTGTTGCTCAGTGACCCGTGAACTTGCTGCGTGTAAGGCAGCCCTGCAGACGGCGACCCAGAAGGCTGTGTCTTGGATACCACGAGTGACTGTGACCCTCCTTGGGGCGGACCTGACACCAGTGAGACACACGTCCTTTGGCCCCATGACACAGGATTCATATGGGAGTCACCAAGGACAGTACAGTCACACTCGCCAGCTCTGCGCCGTCCCCTGGCCACAGCATCAGTGAAAGGCAGAGGGAGCTGCTCCTTTGACGGACTCATTTCCTGTGGCTCAGCTGGACTTTTGTACCCACACAGTGGCACGGTCACCGGCCACGGGTCCTGCTTCCTGTCTGCACTGGATCTGCAGCACGTGGCGGGTGGTAGTCCCTTTAGGCCAAATCCAGACTTGCCCTCGGCCTTCTGGGATGTTCTAGTCCCGCCGGCCCCACTTCCCATCCAGCTCCCTGCTTGTGGCCTGGGAAAGCAGTTGAGGACGGCCCAACGTTTTGGGACCCTGCACCCATGTGGGAGACCAGGAAGAAGTTCCTGGTTCCTGGCTTCAGATCGGCGCAGCACCTGTCTTTGCGGTCACTTGGGGAGTGAATCATCAGATGGAAGATCTTTCTCTCTGTCTTTCCTCCTCTCCGTATATCTGACTTTGCAATTAAAAACAACAACAACAACAACAAAAATAACTTGGAGTGTGATGTGCAGGTTGCTCAGGAGCAACGGGCCTTGTGCAGAGTGGTGGGACAAGCCTAGGTTGGTCCAGCCTCTCGACAGTGCCAGCCAGGTGTGGGGGAGGACATGAGCTCAGCCCCAGGCAGCCCTGAGCTTCGTGTTCACAGCCACCGGGCTCGCGGCAATGTGTACAACCTGTCAAAACCTCAACTCCCTCTGCTCCAAAGGAAACTGGCAACACAGGGAGAGGAGGGGAAGAGAGGCAGGTGCCTGGCTCACACGGGACGCGGAGAGCAGCAGGTGTGAGGCAAGGCTTCTGCTCTGGCTCTCCCCAGAGGGCACCCAGGCCAAAGAGCTTGGCAGCCTGCCCCAAGCCCGTATCACTTGCCCCAGCACTGGTCCTAAATGACACGTGACTGACAAGATTCGTTCCGGGGAAGAGGCTCCCTGGTAAGGTCACGTGGTTCTTTACCTCCTAAGGAAAAGCCATGGCTCTGAGAGGCTGTCCCGAGTTCCAGCTGCTCTGCAAGGTCCAGGCTCCGTGTGACGAGGCCACCAGCCTTCAGAACCACTACAGCATGGAGCAGTAGGCACCACGAAGCCAGGTATGCGGGCAGACTGAATTCAGGAAACTGCTGGTTGCTGCACGGGCCAGGGCTGCCCGAGAACCCTCTGCGGTGTGGGGACCATGGGGAGGACCTGGCCAGTGCTGCCTGGCCAGTCTGGCTGTGCCCCGGGCCACAGACCTGATCGCGTTACTCACAGAGCTGACCAGGAATGGATGTGATACTCCAGCCGAAGCACAGGCCTCCAGGAAGTGGCAAGTTTAGTAATTTTCTCTTTCAAAACCTTTCCAGTCATCTGCACCTGCCCCACTAGGCGCTGTGCTCTGTGTCATCCAGAGGCACGGGCTGCCCACCGATGACACACTGTGGGCGAGGGGCCTGTGCCGTGTGCCTCGCAAGCACATGGCGCCCAAGTGATGTTCCACCAAGAAGCTGGTGTGCCATCCAGGCAGACAGGAGTGCACAGCCTGGGGGGATCTGCCTGAGCTGCCCAGGACCACGAGGCAGCATGCTCTGTTGCCAGGGCCTCCTCTCCAGGCACTCCTGAAGCCTTGAGCCCCAAGCGATTACACTTACCAAAGCATGAAAACGAGGACCCAGGCGTGAGCCAGCAGGGCGCGCGTGGCGGGGGGGTGGGGGGGTAATGAAACAGGCCCATCACTTATTTAAACAGCAGGGCTGGAGCTGGCAGCATGCTCCTGAAACTGAGCTAACTCACTTGAGCTCATCGGGGCACTTGGGTGACCATGGGTTAGAATTCTGCCAGTGGACCCAGATGCATCTGAGCTTCAGTGAGTATGCGGGGGACGCCCCCCGGGCTGGCAGGGCTCGCAGGGACCTCCGCTCCCTGCAGGCCTGGGCTGGGCCACCCTTAACAGCATCCCCTGCCAGGTTTCCCTGTGCCCGCTAGGGGCCCAGCGTGCCTCTTGGCCTCTCCTCTGGGAGAGTGAGAAGCTAGGAGGCACCCTGACTGCCCCTGCACAGGCTCCACCTCCACCCCCTCAGAGGGTGGTCGCGCCCAGCTTGCACTCTGCCCGCTACCATCATGAGGCTGACAGCTGACAAAGGCCTGCATCTCCATCACTCCAGGCAAGCCCTTCCTCTGCTGACAATCTCCCAAAGGACTTCCGATCTACCCGCAGTAGCTTTGCCGGGTCCCCGGACACTGCCTCTGAGCACAGCCACGGAGATCCGTGGTCTCCCTGCACCTGCCGCCAGCCTGCTTCTGCCTCGCCTGGCCTGCCCTTCCCTCGGGCCTGCATGAGCTGCTCAACCTGCCTCTGAAAAGCCGCCCACGGAACGACCTCATTTCCCACCGTGACCCCGATCCAACCTTGGGCGCACATCCGCCACGCCACAAAGCACTTACACAGGTCCGTCCCGTACTTGAGCCCCACTTTGGGCACCCAGCCCTTGCTCCGGAAGTAGTGGTAGGCCAGGTAGGTGGTCCTGAAGGTGGGCTGCACTGCGCTGAAGGCTTGCCAGAGCTTCACTATCGGTAAAGGTTCCTAAGGGAGACACAAGCAAGCACAGGAGTGCATGGTCACACGTGAACCCGCTCGGCACCCCGCTGGCGGGTCAGCCTTCACACTCAGCGTGCAGCTGGTGCGGTGGGTCAAAGGCCACGTGGGATTCCGGACAGAGGATCTGCTTGGGTGGCTGCGGCCACACGTGGGTCACCCATGCCAGGAGGGACTGTCAAAGGAAACACGGGGTTCCAACTGAGTGTGAGACAGATGGCGTCAGGCGCTTCAACAAACTGTGGAATCCAGGACTAACTTCATCTCGCCTGCTTTTCTGGGAAGTGGTGTTACCGGAAGGCTCTGAAGTGACCCATGCGGTTGGTATCGGAAGCTGTCACTGTCTCTAGGACAGCACAGCTGTTGCGGCTGAGGCAGGTGACATGGGAGGAGACGTGGCCGCACTGGGCGCGGTGGGAGCTGGGGGATGTCCAGGGACACGCCTGACCCTCACTGACCCTCAGGAGCCGAGACAAAGAGAACGAAGAGCTGTTTCGTAAGTCAAGGTTTCAGGGGAAACAAAAAGAAAACCCACCAAGGTTGTGTTTAGTGAATTAGAGAGATGGCATCTGAAGGCATAAACTACCAACGCAGGGACTGAGACAATCCTGGGGATTCACTAATCACAAACAGAAGCCACCAGCAGCAATTCAGAGCAAGTCTGCAAAGCCTTGCACGTCACCAGTTTGAACATTCAGCCCGAGCCGCTCCTGGGCTGCCTCCTGCCCTGCCGGCCTCACCCTCAAGATGCAACCCCAGGCGGGAGCTAGAACACACTTCTGTTCCGCCTTCCTTTTTCCTGTTGCTCTTGTGAAAACCTCCACGCTGGCAAGGGTGAGGAGACGCCGGCCCTCCTGGAGCCAGCCTGGTCCTGCCCACCAGCCTGCGTGCCCACGGGCTGGCCCGCCTTTCCCAGGGGACTCTGGGGATGGTGGCACTGCCCGGGGGACGCCGGCTGAGGACAGGACAGGTGGCAGGAAGGGAAACTAGTCCCTTGTGGCCATGTGCCTGTTTCCAAATCACTGGAATACGTGACCAGCATCCTGAGGCAATTACAGGCAGACAAATGGAAATGACAGGCTCCCAACAACTGGGCGAAGCACACTTTCTCCGGTGAACCTGCTATTCTGCCTCTCTTTCTCTTTTTGATTTTATGTGATTTATATATACTCCTTTACATCCCAATAAACTGTAAGTTGAAAATATCTCGGGTTGAAAACGCACGGAACACACCTGACCCGCTGCACATCTCACTTCCTTCAGGACAAGTTCACACGTGTCAGGTGCATTGAAACAGCACAGAAACACGTACAACTTTGAGCAACAGGGGAGTTTTAAGTGGATGCATGCAAACATAACATCTTACCTTCTCGTAGTAAATGCTGAGGCAGCCCAGGGCATAGACCAGGAAGAAGGCCTGAACACAAAGCAGAGAATGCCCATCAGGCAGAGCTGCACCCCCCCCTAAGCCTCACACACCCGTTCCCCACCTGACCCAACTACGGAGACATGGAGCTCATCCCAGAGACAGCGCCCTCTGCTGGTGACTTCCTAAATGCCAAGGACAGCCAGGCTACCAACTGCAGCCTGCCCACACGGGAGACCTAGAGGAAGCTTCTGGCTCCTGGCTTGGGATTGGCCCAGCTCTGTCTGTTGCAGTCACTTGGGGAGTGTACCAGGAGATGGTGCATCTCTCTCTCTCCCCCTTTCTGTAACTCTGCCTTTCAAATAAAAATAAAATGAATCACAAAATAAAAAGTGCTCCAATAGTTTGAATCCCTGCAGGATGACACAGGTGTATTTTCCCAACCACACGTCCTAAACCCAAGCACACTCCGAGGAGTGACGCGGGCGGCTTGCCTGGGGAGTGGCCTGTTGTGGTTCCCGTAGTGAGCCACTCAGTGCCTGACGCCCTGGAGCTGTCCTGAGCTGGGCTCCTTGGGTGTGGGGCTGCCCACGTCCACGCCCACGGGGACTACACACCTCCTCGAGGCTGAGCTGCAGACACTCAAAGATTCTGTAGGGATTTCTTCTGCAGACCAACTGCTTCCTCGGCTCCCCCTGGAGAGAAACAGAAGGAATAGAGAACTTGCACGCGGGCACGCACACTCCAGGCAGAGCGTCGCAGAAGCAATGCCCCGCCGTTCCCTACGCTCACGCTGCTCGGCTCGTCCTCCCACTGAGGCGGAAAAGGCGTGGTGACGTTTCTGATCGCCTCGTGCCCCGCGAGGGTTCCCGGCTGGGATCACGCTGACTTGCCAGTTGCTTTGCTTTACTCACCGCCCCCATCAGCCACACGCCTGCGTTCAGCAGGCTCCAGGTCACGTGGGTCCCTGCGGGGTGGGGGGCCTGCAGCGTGGCGCTTACCTTCAGGATGCTGCCGCCGCCAGCGCCTATGCGGCACAGTGGGGGGAGCACCCCGTAGCTGGCCCTCGACGAAGCGCCTCTCCTCTGCCCCCAAGCCCCTTCCCCGCGCCACACTGGGCTGTGATTAGCACTGCTCGTGCTCCACGCCAAGGAAGGCAGGGTTCCCCGCCTGCTCTCACAGCTGTCTGAACACTCACCCACACACTGTGCTTTCCACGGAAACAGCTCAGCAGCGCTGTGCTCCTGGGGAGGGGAGCGGAGCCGCTGCCTCTGGGGACACACGCACACTGCAGGGCGGCAGGCCCACCATGCCCACCACCTGCCCTGGGCAGGGCCAGGCGGCTCCGGGTGAAGCCCCTGCCGCCGGGTGCCTTGCCTAAGGGGTCTATGTGCCAAGTGAGCCCCTCCCTCAGAGAGCTCCAAACCCTGGTCACACTGCTTCTTCCTACATGCAGACAGCTGTGACAGTCTAATTCATCTACTAGGCATGGTAAGATTTCAAAATAACAGTAATAATCATACTGTAACGCATCAGGACAACCACAGCGACACACTGCCCTGAAGTCACATGACAGGTGTCGCAGGGTCTCCAGCCCCTGCCTGACCACAGCCAGGGGCAAGGGGCTCTGGGGCATCCCCCCACTCACATCTTGGGCTGGGCTGTCCCCGCTCTCGCTCGGGTCCCCGTCGCACACCACCTCTTCCACGAGCACGTACTCCTGCTGGGGCTGGCCGAGCTCTGCTCCGCATGCGCCGTCCCCAGGCGGGGGGTCGCCTGCTGTGGGCAGGACACCGCGCTCGGGGCAGCTGGCCGGGGGCAGAGGAGCGGCGTCTCCCACTGCTGCAGGCTGCGATGGGGGCTCAGAGCCTGGCTGAAGACCATGGCCCGCCCCGTCGGACTCGCCCTTCCTCCCGGAAGGCATCTCACTCCCTGCTGTGCCCTTGCAGGGGGACACCCTCTCGGGGTGAGGCCCGGCTTCAGCCCCGGCTGCAGCGGGACACTCGAGGGGCCGTGTGAAGTCTTCCAGGAGGCGGCACACGTCCTGCTCGTCGCGGCCCTGCCGGCGCAGGAGCTGGGCAGCCCACGCCACGCGGCACTTGTACCTGCAGCACAGACAGGCGGCAGCGCTGGGGGGCAGCCGGGACAGCAGCGGCCCCCGCCGGGACGGCTGCCCCCCACGCCCTCCTGGGCTTCCAAGCCTCTGCAACAAGCGTGTGTTACTTCATCTACTTGCTTTCATTAACAGATTTCATTTTCTTAAAATCTGGGGGAAAAAAAACCTTGTTTAATAAAGTACAAAATGTACACAATTTAAAATCAAGATGTTTAAGTAAATATAAAGAGAAAACAGCTCCTGCTCCGCAGAACTAGCATATTATTTGCAGTTGTGGGTATCACAATGTTGATTCTTCCAATGAAAATAATTTACTTAAGAGGCCAGAGGGCCAGGCAGACATAGAGGAAGACAACACCCACTCGTTCGCGTGCCAAGTACAACGGCCAGGGCTAAGCCGGGGCCAGAGCCGGGGCTCAAGCCAGGTCGGCAGGAGGGCAGCAGGTCACCGGTGACCGGAGCCTCACCCCTGTCTGCCACTGCCCACCGGGGGAGGAGGCAGTAAGCCTAGTGCCTGCTCCCGCACTGCTCCGATGGCTGGTCCCTTCTCAGCACCAAGAGTCTCGTCCTGTACAGCAACCACTGCGTAAGGAAATGAAGGGTTTGGTTTACAAACACCTATCCAAGTATTCTAGTGGAAATGGCTCTTTTTTTCACACAGTAATTTTCAGACTATTTTCATGGAAAATACAAGCTAAGCTTGTGAAGTCTGAAGGCGACATCTGAACACTTAGCACGAGAGAGCCGAGCCCTAGCGACATGACGCCCGGCCTAGCTGGGCTGCTAGCAGGGCGGTGCTGACGCCGGGCGCTGGGACTGTGACTGGCAACAGATGGCCAAGGACGCTGCACGACCAGTGCCTTCCGCCTCTACCACGGCCAGCAGCCCAGCCAGCAGCCGACACCTGGGTCTGTGTGCAGTGACCAGGCCATGATTTATTTATATTTACAGATTTATTTTATTTGAAAGACAGAGTTACAGAGAGATTTTTTTTCCCCACTGCTTGACTCCCTTCACAGACAAACTGGGCAGGGCTGGGCCAGGCTGAAGCCACGAGCCCGGAACTCCATCTGGGCCTCCCACACGAAAGACAAGGTGCGCTGCTTTCCCAGGCGCACGTGGTAGGGAGCTGGGTGAGCATGATGGGAGCCATGGCTGATCCAGCAGAAGGGTGCCAAGGTGATCAAACCATCCGTCCCACGAAGGGGTGAGCGTGCCTTGCTACGGACGGGGCGCTCTGCGTCTGGGGGAGAGTGGGGTACAGTCACCCCACCACCTGCGATACAGGCACAAGGCCAGGACCTGGTGCTAAACTCGTGTTCAGCTCCAGCTTAGTCTCTTGCAACTGCGTGACAAAGCAAATAATGATTTTTTTTGTTGTTGTTTTTACTTTTTATTTATTTATTTTTTTATTATTGTTTTAACATTAACTTTGAAAAAAGAAGCTGCGCAGATCCAAAGCCAGGAGCCAGGAACTTCCTCCAGGTCTCCCACATGGGTGCAGGGTCCCAAGGCTTTGGGACTGCTTTCCCAGGCCACAGGCAGAAAGCTGGATGGGAAGTGGTGCTGCTGGGATGAGAACTGGCGCCCAAGTGGGATTCTGGGGCATTCAATGCGAGGACTTTAGCTGCTAGGCCACTGCGCTGGGCCCGTAACTTTCTTTTAATCAAAGAATTTTCTTGTCTTTTTTTTAACCTTCTATTTTATTTTTAATTTTATGATACAATTCCATAGGCAAATTATTATTTTTTATAAAAGATTGTTTGAAGAGCAGAGTGATGGGGCTGGCTTTGTGGGTAAAGCTATTGACTGCAATGCCAGCATCGTGTGTGGACACTGACCAGCTCCCTGCTAATGACCCTGCAAAGCCTGAAGATGGCCAAATGCTGGGACCCCACACCCACGTGAGACTCAGATGACACTCCCGGCTCCTGGCTGCAGACTGGCCCAGCCCTGGCCACCGGGGCCATTTGAGAAGTGAACCAGGACATAGCATATCTTCCTCTCTCTCTGTAATTTTGACTTTCAAATAAAACAAAATTTTGATCAAAGTCAAATTTCATTGTGACTTACTTTTCTGACGTGATAATAGGCATGTCTGTCTTCAAGTCTGTAACAAAGAAGTTCTGTTAGTGAAAGTCAGAGTTAAAGAGAGGGAAAGACAGGGAGAGGGAGCCTTGCATCAGTACGCACTCCCCGATGGCTGTAACACTCAGGGCTGGCCCAGGCCAAAGCCGGGAGCCAGAAGTGTCATCTGGGTCTCTCATGACGGCGGTCCAAGCACTTGGACCATCTTTGGTTGTTGTCCCAGGCCACGAGCAAGGAGCTGGATGAAGCTTGCACTGGGACCCACACTGCGGATGGCAGATTCCCCTGCTGTGCCACAGCTGCTGCCCCGGTGGAGCCCGGGAGGCCGCGGGGATGGCTCCTGGCTGCTGCCCCGGTGGAGCCTGGGAGGCCGCGGGGATGGCTCCTGGCTGCTGCCCCGGTGGAGCCCGGGAGGCCGCGGGGATGGCTCCCGGCTGCTGCCCCGGTGGAGCCTGGGGGGCCGCGGGGATGGCTCCCGGCTGCTGCCCCGGTGGAGCCTGGGAGGCCGCGGGGATGGCTCCCGGCTGCTGCGGCACTGTACGAATGAGTGAGCAGACGGAGAAGCTCCAGCCTTTACATCAAAACAAGCAAGAGCACAAAGCCAAGAGTTAGAAATCTCTGGGTGGGGGAAGCGCTCCTGGCGAGGCGAGCGGGCCGCCCCGCAAGGACACACACTGCTGCCTGAAGCCAGTTCGGCTGGTCCCTTGAAGCAGCATTATCGCAGCCAGAACCAAAAGACCACGCTACCGGAAATGATCAGACACATCACTGAGTTCTCAAATCTTTCAGAGGAGTTTCCCCCGATGAGGGTTTGCAGCCATTTTAATGTACACATCTACCTGTTCCATTTTATAAAAAACATGACTCTTAGGGCTGCCAACATGGCGTAGCAAGTTATGCTTCCATCTGTGGTGCCAGCCAGCATCTCATACGGGCTCTGATTCATGTCCTGGTGGCTCCACTTTGCTTTAAGCTCCCTGTTAACGGCCTGGGAACACGGGGGAGGATGGCCCTGCTCCCACCTGGGAAACCTGGAAGAGGCTTCTGGCTCGTGGCTTTGGATTGATGCCATTTGGGGAGTAAACCAGTAGATGGAAGACTCTTTTTCTCTGTAAATCTGCCTTTCCATTAAAAACAAATTTTCAAACGCAAAAAAAAGGAAAAATTAAGAAAAAAAAGGGAGAAAAGAATGATGGAAAGTATTTCTCCCTTTCTATCAATCTTTCAAATAAAAATAAATCTTAAAAAGTACTTTAAAAAATTTAGCTTCGGGCCCGGCGCGGTGGCGCAAGTGGTTAAAGGTCCTCGCCTTGCACGCCCGGGATCCCATATGGGCGCCGGTTCTAATCCCGGCAGCCCCGCTTCCCTTCCAGCTCCCTGCCTGTGGCCTGGGAAAGCAGTCGAGGACGGCCCAAAGCTTTGGGAACCTGCACCCGCATGGGAGACCTGGAAGAGGCTCCTGGCTTCGGATTGGCATAGCATCGGCCCGTTGCGCTCACTTGGGGAGTGAATCATCGGACGGAAGATCTTCCTCTCTGTCTCTCCTCTCTGTATATCTGCCTTTCCAATCAAAAAATAATCAAAATAAATCTTTAAAAAAAAAAAATTTAGCTTCACATGTGATCAAATTTCACCTCTCTCCTCACCTTTACCCTTCTCATAAGTATTTAAAAAAACTACAGATTGGGCCCGGCGCAATAGCATAGTGGTTAAAATCCTCGCCTTGCACACACCGGGATCCCATATCTGTGCCGTTTCTTATCCCAGCGGCCCCGCTTCCCATCCAGCTTCCTGCTTATGGCCTGGGAAAGCAGTCGAGGACGGCCCAAAGCCTTGGGACCCTGTACCCACGTGGGAGACCCTCAAGAGCTCCTGGCTTCGGGTTGGTGCAGCACCAGCTGTTGGCGGTCACTTGGGGAGTTAATCCTCAGACGGAAGATCTTCCTCTCTGTCTCTCTTCCTCTCTGTATACCTGACTTTGTTATAAAAATAAATCTTTAAAAAAAAATCTTAAAAAAAACCCCACAAAACTATGGATTATCATTCCATTAAAAAAAATCAGCAGGGGGCGTGGTGCAGCAGCCTAGTGGCTAAAGTCCTCGTCTGCACGCACTGGGATCCAAAGCGGATGTGGGTTGTGTCCCAGGTACTCCACTTCCCATCCAGCTCCCTGCCTGTGGCCTGGGAAAGCAGTCAGGGACGGCCCAAAGCCTTGGGACCCTGCACCCACATGGGAGACCCTGAAGAAGCTCCTGGTTCCGGATCAGATCGGCTCAGCTCTGGCCGTGTGGGGAGTGAACCAACGGATGGGAGTCCCCTCCTCTCTGTGACCTTGCTTTTACACCCAAGTGCCAGCGTTCGCGACTGCATTACCTGCAAAGCCCACAATGCAGATACTGCGTCTATTAACAGGCAAACGGATGAACAGAATGTGGTCTGCCCAGATGGGGTAAAGGCAGCCCTGGCCCCTTGCCCGGCCCCCTGGCATGGAGCTGGCTCAAGCGGGGCAGCCAGGACTCACACCGGCACCCCTATGGGATGCTGGCACTGCAGGTGCCCGTTACAAGTTGTAATTACATTTACCTTGCTGGCATTGTGTCTGAGTTACCATGACAGCTCCTTAAATAAACACATTCAAACCTCTACAAATGTGAAGGTGACAAGCGAGAACCGCACAAACTGGAATGTTTTACCCAATGTGTCAGTGTCACGGCCATTGCTGCAAATGCTAACTGTGGAAACAGTAAACACCACTCCCCGAGCACGTGCCCCAGGCCAGCAGGTGCCTCACCACCAGTACCCAACACGTGCCCACTCCGCTGCCAGGCAACGCTCAGCCCCCGAAAGCCCGAGGCACAGCACTGCCACGGGCCACGACCCTCGCTTGGACAACCACTATGGAACCTGCTCTCTGGGGCAGCCACGCGGCCCGGGGCAATGCAACTTGTGCTGCCAAATCCGACTGTGCAAGCCGAGGTGTGACATGGAGGACAGAGAACTCCCCACGCATGTACTCACCTCTGCACTTGGCGGCCAGCCGGGGGTCGGAGCCGGTGAAGCTCGGACGGCTTCGGGAAAGAATGCCTTTTCCAAAATAGCCCTTCCAGGAGAGGGAGGGAGGGAGGGGTGAGCATGCTTGCCCTCGGGCTTTCTTTCCTTAAAGACTTATTGAAAGGCAGGGGGCGAGGCAGAGGGAGAGGCAGCCATCTTCCATCCTCATGGAAAGTGGAGCAGCCCGGGCTCAAACCTGCGTTCCTACGGGGAAAGCCGGAGTCCCTGGCTGCAGCGTAACCCAGGCTAACTAGCTGAGTTCTGAGGAGCGCCCCTTTCCCCGATCACTAAAGGGGTCTCTCCCCTGGAGAGCGCTGGCAGCTCCTCACAGTCTCACCCATCAGAGCTGCCGGGCTCCTCGGCCCAGCCCGAGCCTAGCTCTGGGGGTGTCTGCACTACAGCTGCTGTGGCCCTCTGCTCCCTGCTGACTCCAAAACACCCCCTCTCTCCTTGTGCTTCAGACACTTAAATACACAGATCACTCAAAGAAGGAAGCAAACCTCCCTTGCCCTGCATCTCAATGGAATGCCAGCGTGATGATGTGCCGGGCGGCCCAGGGCCACGCACGCCAAACACAGGCCCCTAGCAGGCAACGTGCATCTGGTGCCCTGGGCCTGCTCACGCACCCACCGCCCCACGGACCGCCTGCGGACGGTGCATGGCAGACCGGAAGCCCACCACCGGCTGGGCTGGAGTAGAGCTGGGATCACTGTAATGGGCGCAATGGATGCTCTGCAGTGTTAGAATACCCCAAAACTGGATGGTGGTGATGGCTGCGCCACTCTGTCAACTCACATATGACAACCTCTATACACTTAGAATAGTGGAGTTTATGACTGCTGACCATACCCCACCAACATAACTAAAAAAAAAATTTAAAGAGTTTTCTAAAAAAGTTACACAGAGAGAAAGAGACAAGAAATTGCTCAGCCTTCCATCCCCTGGTTCACTTCCTAAACGGCTCCAAACGGCCAGGACCTGGAGAACAAGACCAGCCCTGTCAGCCGGGTCTCCCTGCAGGTGCAGGGGCCAGGTCACTCGGGCCATCCTCCGCTGCCTTCCCCGCTGATCAGAAGTGAGGTGACCGGGACATAAGCCAGCAGCTACGGAATGTTATCGCATGTGGTTTGAACCTCTGTGATACAACATTGGCCCCAAGCCTGCCATTTGAAAAATGTTTCGGTGGGCCTGGTGCGATGGCTCAGTGGCTAAATCCTTGCCTTGAATGCACCGGGATCCCAAATGGGTGTTGATTTGTGTCTTGGATGCTCTACTTCCTACCCAGCTCCCTGCCTGTGGCCTGGGAAAGCAGCTGAGGATGGTCCAAAGCCTTGGAACCTTGCAGTCTCGTGGAGACTCAGTAGAAGCTCCTGACTCTGGCTTTGGATTGGCTCAGCTCCGGTCATGGTGGCCACTCAGGGAGTGAACCAGCAGATGGAAAATCTTTCTCTGTGTCTCTCCTTCTCTCTGTAAATTTACTTTTCCAATAAAATTTTAAAAAAAGTTATAAAGAAAAAAATGTCCCCAGTGAAGAACAGGTTACATGGGAGAAAAGCTACCAGTCTCCACACCAAGCTGTCTGTGCTGGCAAAAACGGGACCTCGTGCTCATGTGAGGAGTTACCCGGCGAGCAGCTGGGTTTGACACGTGGTTACTGCTCCCGGCCCCTGTTGCTGCTAAGGCAGCCTCTGCAGGGCGGCCGGAGGTGGCTCAGGTCACTGGGTTCTTGCCACGCGCGTATGTGACTGAGTCCCAGTACTTGGCTGCAGGCCTGGGTTCTTGGGGCGTGCACCACAAGCCCTCCCTCCGCCTCTCCAACGACTGGCACGGCAGGGCGGGCAGCTGAGGGGCAGCAGGCGGCTCAGCAGCTGGAGGGGCTGCACGGCCAGCTCCACTGCCAGGCAGAGTTCACCAGCGTCTTGGGGGAAGGGGCAGTGGGAAATGCTCGCCCACCCACCACATCGTTGTCAAAAACCTGCTTTTTTTTCTCTTGGTCAGCTCATTCCCTCCCACAATGCCTGCTTTGGGGCACGTGACTCCCACTGTACCGGTCCACGCTGGACCAGAGCACGGGACACCCGGCACGGCTTCCGGCTTGTCCTGGGCAGCCAGGAGGCGATGGGAAGGCGGGCTCACCTGGCCGTACAGCTGCTCGATGTCCTCTGCGCGCCTCACCACCACGCTGTTGCTGATCATTTCCGCACGGCACATCCTGAATTCTCCCTTCAGCCCGGAGGCCTGCGCGAAGGGGATGGGCAACGGAGACTCGTAAGTCTCACAGACCCTCCGCCGCCGCTTGGGGGCGCGGAACACCGCCTCGGCCATTGGTCCTGGGGAGCTGTTCTCTAAGGAGTGGACAATGCGGACAAATGAAAAAGGATCTATCAGTAACTAAAGATGCTGGTCCAGAGTGTGAGCATGTGACACCCAGGCTCGGAACGCTGTGATCTGGGTGAAACAAGGCCACTTAGAAGTCAGTGAGCCAAAATAAATAAATAAATAAATAAAATCAATGAGCCAGAAGACATAGTGATAAGAACACATGTGCAGAGCCCGGCGTGATAGCCTAGCAGCTAAAGTCCTTGCCTTGAATGCGCCGGGATCCCATATGGGTGTCGGTTTTGTCTCCAGGTGGCCCTGCTTCCCATCCAGCTCCCTGCTTGTGGCCTGGGAAAGCAGTGGAGGACGGCCCAAAGCCTTGGGACCCTGCATCCGTGTGGGAGACCCTCAAGAGCTCCTGGCTTCAGATCAGCACAGCTCTGGTCATGGTGGCCATTTAGGTGGTTAATCAACAGACAAAAAGTCTTCCTCTTTGTCCTTCCTCCTCTCTTCATATCTGACTTTCCAATAAAAATAAATCTAAAACAAAAACACACGCTCAACAGTGCCCGGCACAGCTCCACCGAGGTGCTGGAGTCTGGGGTCTTGCTCCCAACTCCAGCTCATGTCACAGCGCCCAGTGACACACAGACACGCCTCCCGAGCGCACAACACGACTCCAGCCAGTTGGAATTCCTTCCTTTCCTCTACTGAGCATGCACAGGGGCCCCGTGTAACCACAGTGCTGGACACACACAGGACACCACTTCCCATGCAGCTCCCTGCTAGTGGCATGGGCAAAGCTGCAGGAGATGGCACAGGGTCTGGGCCTGACACCTATGTAGGGGACCTGGAAGAGGCTCCCGGCTCCTGGCTTCAGCCTGGTCCATCTCTGGCCATTGCAGCCATATGGGCAGTGAACCAGCAGATGGAAAAGGTTTCTCTTTCTCTGTAACTCTTTCAAATACATAAATATATCCTGAGAGAGAGAAAGTGCATCCAGGTTAGACCTGTAGGAGGCCCCCAGGGGGGCACCTGGGAACCCCAGATATGCTGGACGCCAAAGTACAGGTCTTTCTCTGGGTTTTGCTGCCAGCACAGGCCATGTCCGTCCACTAGGCTGAGGACATGTGGACACGTCTGAGCTTCTAACAGTTACAGAATGACCACCACCCCGACTGTCTGGATGAAGGAGGAAGGGAAGGCGGAGGTCTCTCCTTTCCGGCTGAACCCGAGCCAGGAGCAGTCGGCACACGCGAGCTGGCTGGGCGCATCACCAGGGGGAGTGGCCGGTGCTGCATGGTGCCAACAGAGCCGCGGACGAGAGATTTAACCTAGGAAAACCCAATCCTGGGCGAGAGAGGAGAGCGGACAGCCTGAGGTTTGTCGAGTGGCCGTGCTGTAGGAGCATCGGTCATACACTCCCCGAGGACCCCGGGGAGGCTGAGGAGCCCAATGGGCTTCAAGACCACAAGGAAGAAACTGAAGGATGCTTTACACAACCTCTCAAGACAGCACTGGGACAGCAAGGGCAGACAAACACACAGGAGTCGGAGGAACCGCTCAGTCCGTTACAGACAATCAGCAGACAACAACCTTAGAGCTGCCAGTGTCCCAAGCAGCGACACGCGAGAACAGTTTAATGTCTCAATAAGGTCCTTTGGTGTCGGTGTGGTGCAGCGAGTTAAGCCACTGCCTGTGATGCTGGCATCCCATGCGGGCACTGATGTGTGTTTCGACTATTTCACTTCAGATCCAGCTCCTGGCTAATGGTGTGGGGGAAGAGCAGAGGATGGACCAAGGGGTTCGGTCCCCCTCCCACCCGGGACGTCCCCAAGAAGCTCCTGGCTTCAGACCGGGGTGGCCATCTGGGGGACGAGCCTGCAAATGGAAGATTCTTTGTCTCTCCCTCTCTCTACAACTCTTTCAAATAATAAATAAATCCTTTTCAACAATTAAGAAGTCCCTCAGTGAGCACGGGGTTTGTGACAACACTCACTGCATTGACTGGTCACCCCGACACTTCCCTCCCCTGGGAACGCGACCGCATTCCAACCTCACCTGTGACTTCCGTTCGCCAACCCGAGCCCGCGCTCACATCCTGCACCCGGCCAGGGAGGCAGTACCGTCCTGGGACTGAGGCTACCCTGGCAGGCTCAGCCACTCCGAGGGGGTGGGGGGCTGTGGTCAGCCGCTGGGGGGAGACGCGGGGGGGCTGTGGTCAGCCGCTGGGGGGCGGGGGGCTGTGGTCAGGAGTCCTCTCGCGGAGTTCCAGGAGTAATGTGACCTGTGTGACACTCCACTCGGAGTCTGACATGCACGCATCACCTTCAGGATTCTAGAAAAAACAGAATGGCTAACTTCACAATTTGCATGGCAGGGCCAATGCTGTGAGTTAAACTACCATGGGCAGTGGGCACACCCTATAACCAGACAGTGTGGTGCAGTAGGTTAAGTTACTGCCTGTGATGCTGGCACCCAGCAGCCTGTATGGGTGTTAGCTGGAGCCCCCGCTGCTCCCTGCGTGTGGCCTGGGACATAAGCAGCAGACAGCCCGAGTCTTTGGGTCCCTGCACCCGTGTGGGAGACCAGGATGGAGTTTCGGGCTCCTGGCTTTAGCCTGGTCCAGTGCCAGCCACTGGGTCACCTGGAGGGGGTGAGCCAGCAGATGAAAGCTCTCTGACTCTCAGAAACTCTGCCTTCCAACAGATGAACATGCAAATCTTGAAGGGAAAACAACCAACCAACCCCACAGCACACAGGAGTATGTGCCTAAGTGACCTGCAAACACCACCCCACATTACAGAGCGGCCTGAGCACCCAGCGTTCTCCACCCTGGGGCTCCCGGCAGCAGTCCCCCCAGGGGTGCACTGTAGTCCCAGCAGGTGCGAAGGGGTCCCTGCCACAAGGCATTCCCACTCGCCGTCCAGCCCAGGTTCTGCTGTCACTCATGGCCAGGTGACAGCGGGGACAAGGCTCGGGCTCCACATACACAAGGGGCCATTAGTCGGTGACACCTTCAAACTGAACCCAAGAGCGATTTGTCGGGCTGTTCCCCCATTAGCAGGGGCTGTCCCAGGACCCAGCCGTTCCTCTCCCCAGCAAAGACACCTGTTCCTAGTCAAAGTCCTACCCTGCAAGGGGCAGCATTATCCATGATGGCCGCAAACCTGGCCATGACTGGGCGACAGAACCCAGGCCGCGGGTGCGATGGGCCCTCCCTCACCACGCAAAGACACGCTGCTCTGACACTCGGCAGAGAAGACCCCGCACCCACAGGTGGGGACGAGGTGCCGGGACAGGGCATGCAAGGTGGACTGGCCAGAACGAGGCACCGCGCAGCAGTCGGGGCGTCTGGGGTCGTCTGAAGCTCATGACTCATTTATTTATTTGAAAAGCTGAGAGATGAGAGCGAGCTCCTCCATCCACCAGTTCAAGTCCCAGGGCCCAAGTCGAGGGAGCCTGCAACTCCATCCCGGTACCCCACAGGGGTCGCACGTTCCCCCAGGCACCCCGCCCACCTTCTGCTGCCTGCCCAAGGCCTTCAGCTGGAGGCTGGCCCTGGCGAGGGGAGGCCGGGACCTGTTCCGATCCTCCAGCATGCATGGAGCTCGGCCTGGTCACCGCGCCGAAGGCGCACGGACCCCGGGCAGCCCGGCTCCGGCGCCCGCGGCCTTCCCCGGCCGGCCTGTGGCGACATTCCCCCGGTTCTAGCCGCTCTGGGGCCCCGCCGACCCTCGGTCCCTCGCGCGCTCCATCCCGCCGGCCTCCGTGCTTACCTGCGGCCGCACGCGCGCGCCGTCACCTCGGCAACGAGGTCGGGACGCGAACACCGCTGCCGTGAAGCAGGGTTGTCGTAAAGCTAGCCGAGTACGCAGCCGCAGAGCTCGCCCCCGCGCCCGGTGCCGGCGGAGTGCGCCTGCGCAGGCCGGTGGGCGGAGCTGCTGTGCACCTGCCTGTCCTGTCCGCGTGGTTTGCAATCCGGACCGCGTCATTCTTTCCCTCACCGCGAGGTTGCGCCGATGGCTGCTCCCCCAAGATGCTGCGGAGGAAATGCGCAGGCGCCTGTCCAAGATCGCCCAGTAAGGGCCGGGATCCCGAGACTCGTTGCCCCTCGGAGGGGACAGACCCCTTAAGGCCACCAGACCTGTGGAAGCGGGTCGGCCGAGGCCCCAGATGTGGCCTTTGCCTTCCCAGGGTGAGGTGGGATCCAGGTGCACCTGCCTGAATAACCACGTAGGGAAACCGGTATAGGGCGCGCAGGGCGAGGACGGCAGGTCGGTGTGGGGTCCCTCCAGGCCCAGGATGGGCTCGCCCTGCGGCGGCAGAAGGCTCGGATTTTGGAGCGTTTGGGGTTATCAGTTTACAAAGGTTGCCCCCAACAAGGGTTGCCCCCAACGCCTCCCGGACACCCCACGGGCGGGTCTTGCCCCAAGGGCTTCACTCTGTGAGCCCTCCGTTTCCTGCAGGCAAGGTGGGTTTTCGGAATCCTGAGAGGAGCAACCAGAGAGGGACGGTGTGTGTGGCGCGGAGTCATGGGAACCCTCCCAGTGTGAACTGCGTGCTCAATTCGCTCAATTCCGGACCTTCCCCAGCGTCGTGTGGCCTCCTGGCTCCGCAGACGCTGCTGCCCCGACTAGGATCTCTGAACCGCGAGCTCTCAGTGGGCCCACATGCCGTGGGTGCCACTCCCTAGCCTTAGGTGCCAGCTTGGGAGCTCACAGGCTGTGCTTCTTGGTTAGTGCCACACACACACACACACACACTCAGCAAGCCCCCAGAACAGTGGGCTAACGATGGCCTGAGCAGGGAGGACCCCAGACCTCGCCGGCTGAGCCCTCCGTGTCTGGGGCTTGTTTAGGTCCCGTGCGTGTGTGTGTGTGTGTGTGTGTGTGTGTGTGTGTGTGGAGCCCGGGCATTTCCGGTACAGCAGCCCCTCCCCCGAGGTGGAGTGTGGGACTTTGGCCTTTGGTGGCGGAGCTCAGAAAGCCTGGAACCTGGAGCGCTCTGAATGTTCAGGTTGTCTTGTCTTTGGATTGAGAGGGATCTGGGGAGGGACGGGCCAGAGCATATGCAGCTGAGGACAGTGCCTGGGGAAGCAGAGTAGGGGGCGACAGAGGGCAGCCTGGGGCTCCCCGCTCCTGGGCGTTTGCACCGAGGGGCTTGGATCCCTGACTGGGGGTCTTAGGTGGCACCATCCGAAGTCCCGAGAGGTCACAGCGAGCTCCCCAGTAAGAGACCCTGTCCTCCTCAATGTAACTTCAACTTTTAAACTTTAAGGAGAAACTTAATTGGGAGGTGGAGTGATGAAGAACGTTCACCCACTGCTCGCGCGCCCAGCCCACCACGCCAGGCCTGGGCTTGAGGCCAGGGTCCGGGATTCCACCTAGGCTTCCGGCTGTGGGGCGGGACCTCAGCCACCTCCCATGAGGCAGGAAGCAGATGGATGGGCCTCCATCCCTGACACTCCGCCACATGCATCCTCAATGACGCTTCCCCATTTCTCAGGTTCCCCCAAAACAGAACTGTGATGAAAGCTTCCAAAGACCTAGCACCTGCAACTTTGTGTTTAACACCTGGTCTGCAGGCACCTGTGGCCCCTGCTGGCCTGTGTCCTATAACCTTCAGCGATGAGTCAGTCTGGACTTTATGACACATACATGAAGTCACATGTGCAAGAGCCATACACACAAGGCCGTACATGAAACAGCCATACACAGTGTCTACATGGAACAGCCACACAAAATACACATGTAATGTCACACATGGAATAGCTGTGTGCATAAAGTCGTATACACATGGAGCCATCATTGATTGTCACGCCTTGGACAGCCCCAGTCACGGCCAACAGCAAGCCAGGTGCTGAGCAGGTGCTCCGGGCAAGCTGCCAAGCCGGGTTCCTGGGCACCTGCCGTCATCCGTGCCAACTGACCGGTGCGGAACCTGGTTTTACGTGTGTTGCTGTTCAAAGGATCCTTCGTGTTACCCACAGTTGATTCCTCAGCTTTGGCCTTGTGGCCCACGGGGCTGCTCTGACTCCACCCGGATCACGCGCTTCCTCTGACGAGGCCATTCTCCCTGCAGAGCAGACCACAGCGCTGCAAGCAGACGCAGCAGCCACACGGAGCCCACGTGTGTTAGCACTGCAGCAGAAGACGGAGTGTGGCCATCAAACACTGACTGGGAAAGGGGCAGCTGTGTGTGTGTGTGTGTGTGTGTGTGTGTGTGTGTGTGTGTGTGTGTGGGCACGCATGCGCAGAACCTCAACCACTGCACTGGGAATGTGTGCTTTGGGCCATGCTGACATTGACAGCTGTGCCCCCTGGGAGGGGCTCATACGGACATCACAGCTGAACTTGAGCAGGAGGGTGACTTTGCAAAACACGGACCCTGAGATCGACTTCAACACAGTCCCACAGCAACACTGCATGGCAGCCGCCTGTGAGATCACACACACACACACACACACACACCCCATGGCAGCTGCTTGTGAAATCACACACACACACACACACCCCCCATGGCAGCTGCCTGTGAAATCACACACACACACACACACATCCCACCGCAGCCGCCTGTGAAATCACACACACACACACATCCCACTGCAGCCGCCTGTGAAATCACACACCCCCCCCATGGCAGCTGCCTGTGAAATCACACACACACACACACACACACACCCCATGGCAGCTGCTTGTGAAATCACACACACACACACACACACCCCATGGCAGCTGCCTGTGAAATCACACACACACACACACACACACACACACACACACACATCCCACCGCAGCCGCCTGTGAAATCACAAACACACACACACGTCCCTGGCTCAGGATGCTGATCTGAGCTTCAGGCTCACCTGGCTGTCTCGGTTTTTGGGCATTTGCTCTGGGTGAGTTACTCAGCATCCATGGTCCCATTTCATTCTCATGAGCCGCTGAGATTGGTCTCTGTGCCTCACCTGCTCATGGGCCGAGCTACGACAGGGTGGAGATCAGGTGAGGTCTCTGGGGACGATGGGGCTTGAATTCCGGGGAGTCCACCAGGTGTGGCACAGGAGGGCAGTGAGTAGACAGC